TGAAAAAGAGTTGCATGATTTTATCTGCCTGCTCCTCTTTTGTCTCTAAAACCCCTATGAAACTGTGGTGCTTTCTCCTGCAAAAATCCAGATGCAAGCACCTCCCTTTTCTTGCACTAATTGGACTGCTGTGCTCAGCAAGCTATTATCTGGGCGGACCAACAGCCTTCAAAAATGGCATGGAAAAAGACTGGATTCTAGTTTAGGAGCACTGTTAATCTGATAGTCACTATCACAAAACCTATGTAAAATAGCCCAAGCCAAGGTGCAACATTGTACCAATGAATAGCTCCAAATAACTCCAGGCAAGTAATACATGCATAATGATTAACAAGTACCGTTAGGTAACATAGCAAAGTTCAACATCATTAAATCTCCACACTGAGAATACTACCTGCACTTCGCAGATGTACCTTGAAAAGGAGGCTTTTTTTTCCTGACATACCTCAAGAAACTAAAGCCTTTGCATAGTTTTTATCTTTTGTATAACTTTGGCCAAGACTATCAAAGATGCTGTTTTATGTAAATAATCACATTTTAAATATTATTCTACTGGATCTTCATCAAGGACACTCAGGAAAGAGGTGGGTTTTGTCAACTGCTTAATAAATATAAGGCATGTTTTTTCTTCTATAAGAGGTAATACAGACCTGTAGGGCTGGCTTTCTAACAAGCCCCCAGCAAAAGTCCCACACTTCCGAGTGCAGGCTGAGGCAACTTGCGTGTGCGAACTATTGAGTGCACAAGTAGAGAGGTGTCCAGGTAAAGTAATAAACCGTAATGCTTTCAGTGAAAAATAGAACAGACTTTTCATCAGTGAATCCCTGATTTTGGAGACTTGCCACATACTTGCTGTAGCTCTGGGCACATAGCTCTGCTGTGAAATCGGACAACACATATGGCTTTGTGTCTTGGAGTTCAATAATTGAACCATTCTTCATAAAGCTATGAAAACACGTAAATTGTCATAGAAAATATAGGCCTGGAAGAGATCATCTACACTGAGGCAAGTTCAGCAATGTTGATAGCATCAGTGGCAGATGGTGGTCTAACCTGTTCTTGAACATGTCTAATGAAAGCCATTCCCTAATCTGTTGAGAGATCAAAAGGGACCATTATGAAGGTCTGTTCTGATTTAACCCCAGCCCTCATCCATTGCACAAGCCAAAGTGCTTCCCCAACCACCAAGCTGTCTTGTGAGGTTGTACTAGAACTTTTAGGAAGATACCTAATCTGACGTGCAGTAAATACAGCAGGTTATGCACCATAGCTGTAGCTAAGCAGGTAATTATCTTCACTGTTAGAAACAATTTGTACTCTATGTAAAAAGAGGCCCCAGGAAACTGCCACACAGCATGTGGGGTGTGATACCAGCAGGAGAGCAGGCCACGCTGTCCATGACAGTGGACAAGTGTAAGGGTCCTGGTCAGTCTAGCACCCAGGACATATCACTGAATAACTTAATGTTGAGGCAAGGAAAATAACTGCACTGAGTAAAAAATGATTTTTTTTAATTAATGAGAATAAAAACAGACATCTGCAGTCCTTTCAGTTCAGCTGGCTTTGTTGCATAGCTAGCTTCCCACCATTCTTTCAAGACTGTTCTCATAGAACAAAGGCATTCCCAGAAACCTCTTGGTTTAGCAGAACTGTTTGAAAAAAGTGAGCGAGGCAAGCTGGGATGGCTGGAGATGGGCAAGCAGTTGAGACCATTACCAAAAAGGAGTTGAGGGATCCAGAGGATTTCCCTGCTTGTCCTGCCTGCCCTACCCCCCTGACCACCTATCCTGCCTGCCTAGCCTGCCCTGCCCTGCCCTGGCTGCCTACCCTGCCCTACTTGTCTGTCCTGCTCTGCCTGTCTGCACTGCCTGCTTGTATCCCACTGCAAGTTGTGACAGAATTAACTTGCTCCTCCAAAATACTCACTTCTGTCAAATCAGCTTTGTCCTCCCACTAGCATAAAACTCTTCCAGTGGCAACTTGTGACCAGTTGCAACAACAATCCTCACAAATCTTGTGATCTTATGTTTATGAGAGCTTAGTTTTGATTTTGTTTGTTTCTTTTCAGAACAACACTGCAATTTAAATGTGTCAGTGCAGTCCTCAATGGAAATTTGTGCTATCCTATGCTCTTTCCCTCAAGAATAAGATTGCATTTGCAGCCACTCTGAAGAGGGCTCTGTGCTGATGCAGAAACACTCTTGTAACTCTGATATAATATAAATAATTGTCATTTTTAATATCACTGGCAAATTTGTTATATGCAGTTTCAAGCCTAGCTGATTTGTGCGGTTTCTGCCTTCCTCGCCCCCTTGATTTCTCTTCCCCCTTTTCTGATTTTAATTACCTTTCAACAATGTTCTGAATATGAACAAAAACCTTTAAAGAGTAAAGATGAGGGCAAGTCCCCCAGTATTTCTCACTTACCAAACATCCAAGGGATTAAGCTTGTGAAAGTGGTAAGTCACCAGCAGGAGAATAGCTATGGCTTGCTCTCACGGCACTCAGCATTACACCACCAGCAACTTCTGCAGCACAGGGTGCTCTTTAACATGGACAGGGGCTGAGCCTGAGACCCTGCCAGGCTGAATAATGCCACTCAGACAATGATGTCTGCAGCATAAAATAAAATCTTGTATGTGAAAATACAAGATAAAGTGAAGGGAACTGTCTGCCAACACCAAATAAGATAGGACCCTTGTGCAAGGAGGTGCGCTTGTTTTAAAAAGACTGCACCATGGGCTTGGTTTTATCTTCTCCACCTGCAAGTCCAAGAGTAGTGTATTGTTATGGAGGTGCTTGCTGGTGTTCTCCCCTGGGCTGCTGAATAGCTTTAAAAGTATGCACACGTACTCGTTTCTTCAACCTAGGCAGGTGCCAGTGGGTTGTTTCCCTCCTCGCGGTTCAAACCAACCTCCCTGCTGGCATCAGTGGGGCATCTCGTCTAAGTTGGGGAATCCAAATTGTGCCCTGAAGTCTGTTCTTTCATTGAACATCTACCTTCTGACTTCACCAAAAAATCCCAGGGGCTATAATGCAATGTAATGTGCTTCCTACTAATGATAGTAAGGGAAGACCTTGACCCCATGGCTGATGCTGAGTGCTGCATGTGTCATTTTGTGTCTAAAAATGCATCCGTTTCTCTGGAGTCTTTTAGTTCTTTACTATTTTTACGTCATGGTGATATTACAACACTACGATGCTGTTGCAGGCCTTTACTGATGTTATCTTGCACGTGGGCTGTTACAGAAGAATGACAACATGCTGACCAAAAGCATGCTTTTTAATAAGGTGAGGCTGCAGTGCCCAAATACCAGCAGATAGTTTGGCAGGTCCTGGCCTTCAACTTTTGCCCCTAAACCATGGGTGTTGCAGTGAACTATGCTTGGCTCATAGCTGGAACCATCACTATGGTGCACCAGCCATGGGGGGAGCACCAGCAGGCACAGGAACCAGCAGCGCTTCTTACCCTACCTGATGCATCAGACCTGGCTTCAAATTCTGAAGAGCCTGGCTGGTTTTACCCAGTTCCTTTGTGCTCGGACCACCAGCAGGAGAACCCAGACTCTCCCCCTTCCTTAGGTCTCACAGCTGATGGGCCTGTGCGGTCCCACTCTAGGGCTCTCGATTAAACCACATTTCCATCCAAACTGTTGCTTCTTGTAGGAGGTATTTCCACTGCGGACGCCAAGTTCATTGCAGCCAGGGCTCCCATAAGCACCTGCAACACAGACCTTTAAGGGTGCCAAAGGCCACTAAACAAATGTGAGTAGTTACTCGGTTTCCTACTTGCCAAAAGAGATAGCAGTGTTAGATGTTGGCAGTTTAGGTGGGCAACTGCGTTATTTCCGTGTTCTAGAGAAGCTCCAAGTGAGCAATCCACGAGTGCCTGGAAAGCTTGAGGAAAGGGAATGACACGGATGTTAGACCTGCATCCACCTCTGGCTGTCAGCATGGTTACAGCGACCAGCAAGAGGGTGACTGCGGCAGCAGCCTGGAGGCTGTACCCATCCATCACCTACGTTCCACGGCTGTAACATGCTACACCTCGTATAAAAGGTGACAGTAAGAAGAACGCGGTAGCAGTAGTTGATTCATGCTGGAGCTGGATTTTTACTGCTGATCCGAGACAACGCCGGGTTGCAATAAAAACCTGCCTTTGCAGGCCCCATGTGGAAGTTTCACAGTCTCCAAGTGGCTCAGAGGCCAAACTGTGGAAATCCTCTGCTTCGGTCCTCGTTTTAACGTCCGCCCCCCCGCGCAGGGCCCTGAATTTGTGATTGCTCTCCTCGTGAAGGCGAGGGAAGGAGACAATTTCTCGCCACTCGCCCAGAGGCAGCGCTGAGCAAGAGCTCCCACCCGCGGGGTCCCGGCCTGCCCCCGGGAGGCTCCACCCCCCGCGACGGGGGACGGGGTGTGAGGGGGGGGCCGCCAGGGAATCGGTAAGATTCGGGAACCGAAACCCACTCTCAGTCCGGCCAGAAATGACGGTGCTGGCTGAAACCGCCGTGACAGGAAGCGTCCGTTAAAAGCGGGCGAAACGTCAATTACGCGGCTGCCGGCGCGGGCGACCGGCCCCCGCCGGACCGCGGCCGCTTGGGCCCTCCGCGCCGCCG